TTAATTCTCTCGTTGAAAGCGAGGGGGACAGAGAATCGCTTGATTTGGGGGCCGAGGAGGGGAGATGGAGGTCTTTCCAAACAAGCACCAGTTTTGGACCCACAACGAGACAGCTATTCACGATAAAGCATTAAAGGAGGTCTCCTCTCCCCCATCCGGACCTTGGCTATCCACGGCCCCATTCCCGGACCACAAGCCGAATGATGTTCACACTCCAGTCTGTATCACCGAGCAGGGTTTGAATGAAATAGGAAGGGGTGGGGGTGGGGGAGAGAGCAGCGAAGGGAACCTCAACAGCAGAGACAAGGTCCCATTTATGCTTTCTGCAACGGACATGTGTCTCCCAAATGTTACCCTCTGCCGAAACTCCTCGCTTAAAGGTTGAGGGGGGGGAGGGGGAAGATCAAGGAGGAATAAAGTTAGAGCGTGATAAGCCAGACACTCTCCACCCCCTTCCCTAACACTCCCCCCAGCCTCACCAAGTTTGAAATCAGTGGTAAGTTCTCCCGCGCAAGTACCTAGGCAATGGGTATAGCTCATGGGCAGCCCCCATCCATTCGAATGGAGCTGGCGCGGGAGATTCAGTCTCTCTGCCTTGTGCTTTCAGCGCTCAGTCTGTTGCATTTTTCAATGGGCCGAGCCAGGCCTTGGTTTCTGCCATTTCTGCTCGGATCGTTTTGTTAGGACAACCTCCTCTTGTGTTCACTGGAGGAAAACATGGCAGGCACTCTCCAGGAAAGAATTCTGTGTTCTCCACTGGTTTTTGAAGGTGAAAATACCCCTTGAAAACCAGTTTTTGAAAGTCTGGTCTACTTGCAGAAATGGGTGGTGGAGCCTGTGATTTACCAGTCCTTTCCTTTCCAGTGATTGGGATCATAACAACAACTTACAGGAATACACAGGGCGATTTACTGGGTTCACTAGCACTTTCGCTCAAGACAGGGTGCATAGGATTGTGCTGTGCCGACCTGAGGATCCCTTGTCATCTAAAAAGAATGAATGTCTATCTGGCTTTGTGTGTTATCTGCGATTTGTATATTTCCTTTACTCGTGAATGTAAATTCCCAAGAAAACCACGTGAATGACAAGGAGAAAGAAAGATCTTATCTTTTCCCGTGGAATTATACTCAATTTAGTTGACAAAATCAGTTTGTTTTGACCCAAATCCTTAAAATCCAGAAGGAAATAAATTTAACTCTGCGTTTGGATGTTTTAAGATATTCTTAAAATGCCATAAATCACTAGGAGCCATCCTAAAGCTATGCCTGCTACCTTTATCACGAGCTCTGCTCTATTTCAGGTCAAATACATTTCCTCTGTGTCTCTCTCCCTGCGTGGTTTGCGACAATCTACCATTCTCGCCCATTTTCCTCTTCCAAGAGGCAACCACGAAGCTGACTGAGGCAACCACCGTCAAACCGATAGGGTTCTCTACAAACAGATAAATTGGCATATGCCAATCTGTTTGGTCTGGGTACTATTCAGGCTGCAATCCTGTGCACGGTTTCTCGGAAGTAAGCCCCAGTGAACTTGGTGATACTGATAAAAGAGGACTGCGCAGGGTACAAGACAGTCCTAGGGGGCAAAATCCACAGTGAAAGGACCTGGCTTCGGCGGCTGGTTTCCAGGAGATAGATCGAGATGGGTCGCCCTGTTGGTCTGTCTGTAGCTGCAGAAAAGAGGAAGAGTCCAGGAGCACCTTAAAGACTAACCAAATTTGTGGCAGGGTAGGAGCTCTGGTGAGTCACTGATCTGAAGAAGTGAGCAGTGAGGGAGGAAAGCTCACGCCTTGCCACAAATCCGGTTGGTCTTTAAGGTGGTATTGGGCTCTTGCTCTTTTCTGCTTTCCAGGAGTACTTTCTTACCTAGGGGATTGCGACGGTCGAAAATAGCAACAAGTGAATAGATAGAAGTATACTGGATAGTGATGCCAGATGGAAGTTTAAAGGAGGAATATTAGGGGGCGGGGGCATAAGCCAAAGCAAGTTTCTTTACGCGCTAAAAAAATAACAATTAGAGAAACAGAGTTATGAGCGGAATCCATTCAGGAAACTGACCACCCCCAGGAAAAAAATCTCAACGTGCGTTTTGCTTATAGTCCGTGCAACACCCCCCCCAGCAAATCAGTCCCACTGAACTTCCACAG